ATTTCACCTTTGTAAGTTTTCACGGGTGTGGCTTTATTTAAAGAACACTCTGTGTGTGATCACAACACACAGAAAAGAAAATAAGTGAAAGCAATAATATCAGTATCCCTCTCTTCCTCTCTTTATCTGCAATCCTTTTGTGTTAGAGTTACGAAACTAAACAGTATGATAAATTGCACCCGCTTTGCTCATGTCCCTAGCAAAGGTTATCTCTCTAACTTTTGTCTATTTATAACAATATGACATTTCAAAAAATTCCCTATTATAAATCCAAGAAATCAACAATAGAAACTGCCCACTACGTGGGATTCTTTTAGTTTTCAGAATTTTTAATTAATCTATTTTAATTCAAAATGTTGTCATTCTACTATTTTATCCCAATTAGTTAAAATTTTCTTTTAACATTCTAATTAGTGAAGGGTATTATAGATGTATTGAAAGTTTCATGCAAGTGTATTGCCATGGTAGTTAGGGTGCTCATTTATATATAGAGAAGGAGCATGGTGGTTTCCTACAAGTGGTGGATATTGCTTTGGTAATTAGGACATGTTTACTCATCTCATTCCGGCTTAGGTTCAATGATCTCCCCCAACTCTCCCCCGATCCTTCTCTCTTTGATTAGTGTAGAATATCACTTAAAACCCAAACGAATGGAGGCTCTTTTTTTTTTTTTTAGAAAACCTCGACGGTACGAGGGGGATTTTATTGATATCAAAAAAAGAGTGCACTAGTCAGGAGGGACATAACCCCTTATAATACAAAGAAAAATGATAAAGAAAAATTACAAGAAAAGAAGGGGGACATAAACCATACTCCTTTAGAAACAAAAACAACAAAGATATAAGGAAAATAGGGGGACATGAAACCTAACCCTTCTAAAGCCAAACCTAAATGTCTAAATCTGCAAAACATAACAAGCAACATCACAAAGTTAAGAAAAAAAATCAAGAAAGTAAGACAAACATGTATGCTGAGATGCACATTAATTTGAGAAACAGAAGCCATGAAAGCCAACATAGTCTGAAACAAAGCAGCACGAACCGCTATCTAAGGGGAATCAAGCCATACCAAAATTGGAAAAGACAAGCCCATGTTAGCAAAATTGTCCACAATCACATTTGATACATGTGAAAGGCATAGAAAGCCATCTTCCAAATGCGGTCCAAACAAATAGACCATTGCATATGAAGAGGCCAAGGAGGATCAAAATTAGTTGATTGGAGAGCAGAAATAATACTAGAAGAGTCACTTCCCAGCCAAAGACAATGTCAACCCCACTGATATGCAACTCTACACTAATAACAACTGGTAATAATTCCACATAAAAAAGAGTTGCAATGACCATTCCCTTGGCAGATACCACAAGAAACTAACCATGACAATCCTGGAAAACTCTCCCACAAGCAACAAGACCAAGATTTCCTTTAGACAAACCATCTATATTAAGTTTAATCCAAGGGAACCAAGGAGAAGACCAAAGAATAGGAAGAATAGTTGGCACCTTGCATGGGATAGGTTGAATCCCCATAGAAGAAATTATGCGAGTGTCAAAACCCTGAGAGTAATCAAGAATAAACTTCCCATCATGAACGATCCCAAAATTGATATACATGCAGAGATGATGAAAGATTGGACGACCCAAAAACTAAACTTATTTCGAGCTTTCCAAATAGCCGAAATAATAGAAAGACCCGCAAAAATCAGAGATTGTGCAACTGTTGGGAAAAGGGCTTACATATGTAGCCATCCCAAAAACAGCCATGGAATTTAAAAAGGTGAAAGAGATACCAAATTGACATGCTAACCACCTCTAAAGCTACCTAGATATCCGGCACCCGAAGAAAAGATGGAGGATTCTAATGGCCTTAACCTTAATTCTTAACCTTAATTTTAAAATAACGTTGTTTAAACTTTAAACCATATATATATATACACACACACACACACACACACACACATCATCATCATCACAGGAATTGAAATGTGTAACATAAAATTCTATATATTTCATTCTCAGTCATTTGATACTTAAATTAAAACCCTAAAAATTCAGAAAATTATTAAATAGGATTCAAATTGTATTTCGTGACTATTGCACTATGCTGATCCAGGGAAATATATATAATAGAAAAAATTAGGCAGTGAGACTTGATCAGTTTGACTTCCCAGCTTGTAATTGCAAACAAATGATTTACAAACAACAGTACAAAGGAATTGGAATTTTTGGAGGAAAAAAAAAAAAAAAAAAGACGACTGACAGATGCTCCATTTTGTCTACTTATATTTAGCACTAGCCATGCAATAGTGCTGGCCGACTCGTATCTCATTAGCCTCCCACATCCACATATATGGTATATATCATGGAACATTCGTTGCAAGGGTACCATATATCATAGCTTTATGTTGTAAAGTATGAACCGGCTTAAAGAAATTTTCAAACATAAATTTCCAATAAATTTATGGTAAGATAAAATGGCTTCACTAGTTAATGTCTTCACTAGCTATTTTGTCACAGTTTTCTTTTTGCCATGTTGTAGTTTCCACAGGAGTAACATATGAAATTTAGATTTAATTATTTCAACAACAATTGTGGTTTGTTATGCCCCTTTCAAAGGTAGGTATGTCCTATTAACCTGAGGGATTAGGGCGTGCTTAATGTGACTTCAGCATAAGATGATAAAGAATCTTTCACCTCCAATTGACTTAAATCTCCATGCAACCATTTACTTTAATGCGCTGCTTAGTTACAAGCCCCCGCTACAAAGCTCGATGGTTTAGTTATGTACTCTTACTTGAGAGTTACATACTAGACCAAATAATTATTCTTTAGAGTTATGTACTTTTATTGCCACTTAGTATTATGGTCTAGTGATATTTCTTTTCACTTGTAAGTGAGATGTCTTAGTTTCGATTCTTGCCAAAAACGAATTTGAACCACATTATGAGACTAAGCTCACTCTCTCACCCCCTTAGTATAGATAATATTGTTTGTTAAAAAAAAAAAAAATTTGAGACTTGAGAGTTAAATGGGTTGTATGATTGAAATAGGAATATTATTCAGATGCTATAGTTTTTCCTAGTTTTGTATAGGATATCTTTCTTGAATGAGAACATAAAAAGTGAAAGGCTTATATGTCCAGAAGTTTCTTAAGATATGGACACCCATATGTAGAGAACTTGATTTTTTCCGTGGTGGACAATTTTTTTTTTGCTTTCATACTCGTGTCGTTATATTCATGTACTCATATTGTGAGATTTAGATTAATTGCCTAAATTCTAATTAATAAAGTAGGCCAACTTATGTTGTGAAAAATCAAACCCTGCCCTTCCTAACTTCACTTGCTCTAGCCACTCAATGTAATTGATCACATACTTAGCCTAGTTTAGCATTGTTCAAATACATTTTTAGCTTAGTTACTCACCGACTTCCTCGTTACATAGCCTTCTTGATGGGGATCCCTCATTTTGGATTACCGAGATAATCTCCCTGTTAGGATAGTTAATCCTTGATGCTTTACGTAATGTAGCTTGGGGGTTGATGTTATGTACGTATCAATTGATCATGAAACGTTTTCTCCAGAAGAAAAAAAAATAATATCACTAAGTTTCTTCGAATATTGAATATTGAATAATTGATCATGATTTAGATATTCAAATTTTGATCAATTAAAATATGGTCAACAAACTGAATGGATATTGATTTTTCAATAGGATAAAACATGGTTCCTTACCTTTAATAATTCATTTCTAATTTAGGGTTTTCGTGGAGCCGATTTCATCATGCACCAAAAGGGTGCCTTACGGAAACTAGGGTTCACAGAGAGAGAGAGAGAGAGAGAGAGAGAGAGAGAGAGAGAGAGAGAGAGAGAGAGAGAGAGAGAGAGAGAGAGAGAGAGAGAGAGAAATGTGTGTCTCCTTATTTATTATTATTTATTTTTTTGAACAAACCATAGTATCTACACTTACAGTGAGGTGGTGGGGGAGAATCGAACTTAAGATCTCTCACTTAACAGTGGGCTTGTCAAATACCCTTCACTAAATCAACCTATATACGTGTGTGTCTTTTTATTATTGTTCATTTCAATGTAATCTTAATAGTATCCAGCTATTGTATAAATTGACACATTGTTGAGTAATGATATCTGCATACTCCTTTCTTTTTTTCCTTACTCACATCTTTGTTTATTTATATTAATCGATTCTTTTTTATTGATTCAATCTAAAAATTAGATATAAACAGCCATGTGCACGTGAAGAAAAATAAGTGTGTAAAATCACTTACATTCTAAATGAAATTATTCCATGTTATTTTGGAGTACTGTTAAAATGAATTATATTGTATTTCTCAAAACACTTTTCACTGCATGAACATGATAAAGTTTAAGTGAAATTGATTGCATAAATTTTTTCAAACAACAAACTCAAGCATAGACTGACTAGGTGCAATGATGTGGTATACCACTACTACATGATTAGGTGGCTTAGAGTAGATTGCAATTTGATGTCACTTGATTAAATACACAAGGGGAAGTTCATACATGGGATTGGGTTAGGGTAAAAAAGAAATACTGAAGGAATTGGGGTATGATATTCTTCCAAGTACTCCCACCACCGCCACCACCAAAAGTTACATGTTCTCTCTACTTTTGGCTTTTCCAATAATTTGCTTGTCCCTTTGTCTTAATGTAAGAAGAAAGTACCAAGTGGATGGTGTATGCCTTTGGAAAGAATCCAAATACGAGTTTTGGATTTGGAGGCACTTGGGAGGCCTCCTCCTTGCAATCTCCCCACTATTAATTACCCACTAAGCAACAAGCAAGTGTGTTGTTTTGTTTTGTTAGTACATGTTTTGAAGGGCATTGTGTTGGAGAATAGTCCCAAACTTTGGCCAGCTCTTATTTCCATCCATTTCACTTGGTGACAAATCTCAAGTGAGAGTGAGAGAGAAACAAAGTAATACACCAGACATTTTAGAGATAAAATCGAGAGGGAGCTAGAGAGAGGGGGAGAGGGGGAGGGCACTGTATTTCAGAAATTCCATATTCCTCTGAACGGGCCAAAGGACAAACAAAATAAATCAATGACGACGAAAGGAAGCCTCGTTTGTCGCCAGTGCAGCCATGGAACAGTACTTTAAAACAAGAGCTTTTTGCTATTTCACTCACTTTGCAACAAAACTTCACATCACAAACACAAAACCCTTCTGAGTTTTCTTAAACTCCTCTCCTTTGATGGATTAGCTAGGAGGAGGCTCCAGCCAACCACTACCATTTCATAAACTTTTCTGGACCCAGTGAGGAATTTCCATCTCGTTTGAACTTGGTCGGTTATTTATTGGAGGAACTAACTAGTTACTTTTTCTGGTAATTCCCTTGCTCTGCGTAGTTTATATTTATTACAGATGTAGTTGTTCATTTGTTGTGAATTGTTTTTTATTTTATGCTTTTCTGTGTGGCATATTTGATTTTGTTTAGGGCTTTTTGGTTGATTTGTTGATGAAAAAAAGTAGACATTTAACTTGAAAAATTCCCAAAAACTTACATTGTTGAGTAGAGAAGGAAATATTTTAGCTCACTTGTAATGAGTTCTTTTAGTTTTGTTCACAATGGGATCATTTCCAAGAACAAAAATCAAATTCATATTTTCAATTTTTTATTCTTTTGCTCCTGTTTCTCAGAAACCATCTGTTCAGTTGACCCGATTCGTATCACATTTACCCGGATTCATGATTAATTTTAGTTGTGTGCTGTACGTAAACACCAAAGTAAGGTCTGTGAAATTACAGGTCTGGTACTTCTGACCTTGTGAAAGAGCTAGGTCACATGGTCAGGGCAGGTGAGTTCGAATCCTCGGCCCCATAGATTAAAATAGTTTAGACTATTGTTTGTATTATAGGTACGATACTTGGAAATTTCAGCTCGAATATAAGTGCTTCATTATTTGGAAAACAAATATGCGGAAGAGAAAATATTGAAGTCGAATTTTAATTAATTTTATTACTCAGCTGCTTTCCTTGTGGCCTAATTCTTTCTGTTTTAAAACAGTTCCGGCAATTAATCTTCTGCATCAGCTGATTGTTTTTATCGTTAAGTGAAAAAATGGCGCAAGACGATGGGTCACCAGTAACTTCATCACCCCTGCAGTTCTTTCCCTGGCTATCTCCTGGGATGGGATCTCCATACTCACCATGGCTCAGGGAGCTAAAATCTGAGGAGAGAGGTTTATGTCTGATCCAGCTTCTTTACGCATGTGCTAGCCATGTCACTTCTGGTAGTATTGAGAAAGCAAATTTTTGGCTTGACCAGATTTCTCAGCTCGCCTCTCCTGATGGCGATTCAATGCAGAGAATAGCTGCTTATTTCACCGAGGCACTTGCTAACCGGATGCTTAAAGGTTGGCCCGGTCTCCATAAAGCGCTTCATTCAACGAAAATATCATCAGTCTCAGAAGAAATTATTGTTCAAAGGCTGTTCTTTGATCTCTGTCCTTTCCTAAAGGTTGCGTATGTAGTCACAAATCAGGCCATAGTGGAAGCCATGGAAGGGGAGAAGATGGTTCATATTATCGATCTTCATTCATGTGAGCCCGCTCAGTGGATTAATTTGATTCAAACACTGAATGCGCGACCTGAAGGCCCTCCCCATTTGAGAATTACGGGCATTAATGAACAAAAAGAAGTATTAGACCAAATGTTCCTTCAGTTGACAGAAGAAGCCGGAAATCTGAACATCCCATTTCAGTTCAATGCTATAGTAAGCAAGTTAGAGAACCTTGACATCGAAAGTTTGCGTGTCAAGACTGGAGAGGCTCTTGCAATCTGCTCCGTTCTGCAGCTACATTCGTTCTTGGCAAGTGATGATGATCAAAGGAGGAAATCACCATTAGCATCTAAGAACCTGCAGAAAGTCTTGCATATGAATAAACTCACTTTGGGAGAATGGCTGGAGAAAGATCCAATCAGTGCATATAACCTGAGTCCCGACACTGCTTGGTCCCCGCTATCAGGTGCTTCACCAACGGGGAGTTTTTTAACTTCTCTTTGGGGCCTTTCGCCAAAACTAATGGTAATAACCGAGCAAGAGGCAAACCACAATGGCCATACATTGATGGACAGGATCATGGAAGCATTGCACTTTTATGGAGCACTTTTTGATTGCTTAGAGTCTACAGTATCAAGAGCACCAATGGAGCGACAAAAGGTTGAGAAGATGCTTTTCGGAGAGGAAATAAAAAACATCATAGCATGTGAAGGAACTGAGCGCAGGGAGAGGCATGAGAAGCTTGAGAAGTGGATTCTAAGACTTGAGTTGGCAGGGTTTGGCAAGGTGCCCTTGAGCTACAACGGAATGTTGCAGGCTAGGGGGTTCTTGCATGGCTATGACGGGTATAAGATTAAAGAAGAGAATGGATGTGTGTTTATTTGCTGGCATGACAGACCTCTTTTTACGATTTCAGGCTGGAGATCTAGGAGATAAGAATGATATGTTGGTCGACCATGCGGGGATTGAGTAAAAGTGTACCTTTTTCTTGTTTGTGTAAAGGATTTTAAGCATTTCTTCCTATCCAACTGCATAGTGTCTTTCTCAGAACGCTTTGGAGAATTTATTCTCTCTTTTTTCTGTCGTTGTTAATCTGTATGCTTTTTAGATCTCTATCTATATTAAACATGGTGTTGTGTCTCTGGCATATTTTCTTTAGGTTGAATCCTGTTCTGTAGATACTTCAATTTTAAACATATTTGGGGTTTTAAGTCAATCATATAGGTATTTTTAAGTAGTGAAATATCACACTCCTTGCTATTCAAGATACTCTAAATCAATTTAGTACTACGGTTTATTGATGTTCCTTTTCACCAGTAATTAAGATGTCATAGTTTTGAATCTCATAAATGTCGAGTTCATTACCAGTTTATTCTCCACCCCTTAGAGTAAATATACTGTTTATAAAAAAATAAATAAAAAAATTCTAAACCAACACAGCATGTATTCATGGAAAGCAACACAAACCATAAAAGAAAAAGCAACAAAACTATTTCTAGTAAATTTACTGACCATATCTCTCACCAAGATGATGTGATACAATATCGTTACTCTTTCAGTAGTGCAACACAGACACATTGTATTCAGCAACATGCCAACAGCATATCCAGTTTTCGTGCTCATCGAGAATGTCTTCATCAATGCATAGCCCCGTGCATATTGGAAAACTCCACTACCTCCAACGACAGGCATCTCTCGGATGGCTTCCATATAAGGATTCCTCCCTCGAATACTAACGGTACTACCATTGTACATACCGTCTAGGAAAGCAAAGTTCAAGACCATAAGTAATACCCAGGGTCATGTAGGGAAGCAAGAGCAGAAATGCCCTAAGCTCTCCCCACAAGCTTTGAACTAATCTTTGGCCCTTCTGTTAATGGATTGTCTACCATGAAAATTGTTCCGAAACCCCCAACTGACTTGTTTGGTGGTTCAACAATTTTCATGGCAGTTGGGTTCTTGCTGTTGTGGATGTCATGGAAATAGAACTGAAGGCGGGTAGTCTTCTCCATTCGTTTTGCAGATAGGGATAAAACAGAATGTCTGAGAATGCTCCATGTATGGTAGTGAAGGAATTTGATAAGATGATGGAGTAGCAGGCAAAAGTGGCAAAACAAGACATTTTGCGTTCAGTTTTCAATTGTATTGCAAGTGTTGCAGAGAGTTGTTTATAGGATGGTAATGGTATGGAAGTGAGGAATGATGTCTCTTCCTTAGTTAAGATAGTGTGGATTCTTTGCATTGGTGAAGAAGTTATAACCCCGTGCTTGGTTTTCCATCAACAAGAGCGCTGCGTAATATTTATTTACAAATACATAATAGAAAAGGAACGGGTAAAGAATATAATTTTATGACATCTTCAACAGAAATTTTAAGTAAATCAGAACACTTGTCACGTAGTGTATTTTTCCACGTGCTATTGCTGGGCTGTAATGAATTGCCTAACTTGAACTCCTTCGTTGGAGTAGAACAAGATAGAGCAGAGGGTGATGAGACTAGTGAAGTACAGAAATGAAGACATATTACTAGATCTCTACTCTCCACTTTCTCAGGGTGTTGATGAGTCAATATTATACTATATATTTTATCCTTATCTTAGTATTAATTTATTAGTTATTTTGGTAGAATTTTGATAATTTGTTATGTATTTTCAATGTAGGGCATTTGACTTCCTCTGGAGCAAAAAGTAACCAAACAGATAAATTTTGGAGTGATTCTAATTGGAGGATGTTCGTGAGTCTTTCAAGATAGATTGTGTCAAAATTCCTGATTTTTCTACCAAACCGTTTGACCGTGGCAATGAAATAAAGACTCAGTGCGCAGCTTTCCCAGATTGACGTTTCTAGACGTTTCGGGTATTTTGAAGGTCAATATAGTATATTTTGAGAAAGATTCCTTCTGAGGATTTGTTAGGAACGTCTCAATCTTTAAAAAGAGATATTTTGAAACCAAATCAGAGTTTATTTGGTTGATCAAAAGATGGATTTTCTCTGCAGTCTAAATTTCAGTTTAAATAGGAAGCCTTTTACTTCCTAATTATCTTATTCTATTATGTTTCCTAGTTTTTAGAAGACCTTTTCTAATAAGGATTTTATTTCATAGTAGTATAAATAAGGCTATTTAGCCATTAGAGATAAAAGAGAAGAACGCTTATACTTTGGAGAACGCACTACTTTGTATTTTCAAGGTGTTTTTTTTATCCATATTCTTAATAATATTTTGTTTTATGATTGTTAGTAACTAGTTTAATTTGCTAGGGCGAGGCCACGAGCCTTAGAAAGGATATGTAGTCTCTTTTCAATTTACTTGTGATATTATGCATGCAAGTTTTGAATTATTAATCACCTGGTTTAAATTATCGAATTGTCTTGATGATTAACCGTCATTAGGATATTTAGAAAAGTACTTTGATGCAATTTTGGCGGTGGGCTGTCCCTGAAACTGACTAAGGCTTTTTGTGGTTAATATGTGTAACTTCTTAGGATGGACGACACATCTTAAGGGTTATGTGGTTTTTCATAAAGTTTTCACAAAACTTAATGAGTCTTGCATGTTCACATTCGGACACGGACGGGTTGCATGTTAGATATACGTTGTTGGAGGTTCCAAGTAGGGCATATTTTAGAAAAACCTAACCTTCAAAATATGCATAGGTAATTCATAAGTAATTGGAAGAACTACGTATGATTGTTAAGGTGACGGCAGGAACCCTAGTGCTCAAATTTATTTTCAAAACTATTTTCTTTGGTTTTCTTTACTTTGCCAATTTATTTAGTTATTTTTAATTAAATTAATTTTTAAAATTTTAAGTCATAAAATCAACCTCTTCCAAACTTTGTTTTCAAATTATTAATTAAGATTTGGTATTTACATAAATTATTCAGTCAAACCCTGTGGAGAACGACCTTACTCGAGCTGCTATACTACGATAACCTTATACTTTTGCAAGTATTTTTAAGTGTTTTTATTCCTACTTTTGCAGGTGGTAAAATCCTTATTAAGAAATTAGAACCCACGACCACAAGGTTATCGTGAATTTCTTAATAGGGATTTTACCACCAATCCAAATAACCTATTCTAAAAATTTTTAAAAATAAAAAATAAAAAATAAAAGTAATTTGGACCCGTGGACTTGGCCCGAATCGGCCCGTTTAAAACGGGCTTGGTTAGGTCCGGTTTCAAATCTCAAAATTCATATACCCAGCTCGGCCCGACCTGCTACATTTTAAAACGGGTCAAGTTCGGTTCCTACAAATTTGGGCCTAGCCTGGCACATGCCCACCCCTAGGTGTGAAAGTGCAAATTTTAAAAGTATAACTCATGAATTATTGCCTAAGCAACGATAAATAGAAAATACTCTGTTGTGGGATTAATCTTCACCATATCCATTTGTTCTAACGCTTAAAATAATATATGGATATTAACTTAAAAAGAATGAACATTTTTATTTGACTCAAAAATTAAAAATCTAAAATTTCTTATTTCCCACCCCTAAACTTATATCACACATTGTCTTCAAGGTGTGAAAAATAGAAGAAAAGCAAAAATAAACTAAAACATCAAACAAAAATAAACAACCACCTTAATTGACTAGAAATAGAAAGACGAAAAATAAAACTAGAAAATAAAACAAAAGACAAAGCAGAACAAACTATAAAATGATACCAAACGAAAAATAAAATAAAGGGAATGGAAGTGTGGACACAACTGGGTTCGAACCTGGGACACGAGAGCATCAAAGAAAGCGCTGAAAAATAAAAACCCAAAAGTGCTGCCGTGCTGGATTCGAACCCGTGACCTACTAGAACAACATGAGGTGCTGAGCCTTTTACAAACCACACGCGCAAGCCTTAACGTGACAAGAAACCTAGCAATTCAGTATTTAAACTGAGTTATCAGCTCTCTTGTGTCTTCTGCTTATTTTTGAAAGAAAACTAATGAAAATGATTTGAAAATTTTGAGTTTTAACGATAAGGATAAAATAAAGGGTAAAATGAATAGTACCAGTATTGACTTTTTAGTGTAAAAATATAATTTTTCGTTAAATAAATAATACAAGAAGTTTTTCCTTAAAGTTCGTATTTTTAAATTAGAGCAGTTGTTCCTCTCCCTCTAGAATCTTCAAAACCCAAAAACACAAACCCAGCTGCAGCTTCCATTTCTCTCAAAATCAAAATTATATCTCGAAATTCCATCGTCAAACCCAACTAACACCAGAGCCATCATCTAACTCGAGTCCAATCTTCTTTCTTTATTCATTGCTCTGAAGGCAAAAATGGAGATCCACCCCCAAACTTCTGATCATGGTTGGTGTCGACCCACTTAGAGGTAAAAATGTATGATTCTCTAAATTCAATTTCAAGTCTAAGCTTAGATTAGGGAAAATTAGAAGATGAATGTCTGATGTATGTGTGCTCCCTGTGTAGGAGCTGCAGAATGCCGACCCAACATAGCAAACAACGATAAATGTCTGGAGTCATATCATAAAGAAAACTATATTACAACACCAAGGTAATCACTTACCAGACGATGACATCACTACTCGAGAACTAGGGTTCTTCTGCAACTCTACACTCCTGGAAACGACTCAATCAAATGGGGTTGAATATCTGATTGCTTGCGTATAAATATAGTGAGAGAGCAGTGACCCAACTTTATACCATAAGCGATGGACTTCAATAAGGACACTTCCCATTATGTGATCCTTAGCAAACTAACCATATCACTGCAAGTAAGTGGCCTTTTACCTACAATGGTGGAAAGATATTGAACCTTACATGATGACGTGGGTCAAATCTCGTCAGTGGCTAATCAAACATCTTATCTAACAAAATCTATCATTTGACAAAACCATATCACTGTGAAACCCTAGTAAACATATCAACTAGATATAGTCCTAGTTCTATCGAGATTGCTTGAGGCTAACAAGTAACAACCCTAGTATACAACTCCAATAAGCCATACCACATTGTTAAACGTAATCTCCTTATCATTCCAATTACCTTTACACGATAAACAAGTGTTTGCTCAATCTCTGTAGTAAACATATCAACTAGATATAGTCCTAGTTCAATCGAGATTGCTTGAGGCTAACAAGTAACAACCCTAGTATACAACTCCGATAAGCCATACCACATTGTTAAACTTAATCTCCTTATCATTCCAAATTATCTTTACACGATAAACAAGTGTTTGCTCAATCTCTATAGAACTTACAGGAGTCTGATTCTTGTTTTGGTTAACTTTTTAACTCTTAGTCGCTACGAGCCTACAACGAGGAAATAGATATTTCCTCGCCAACAATCCATCGACAGCGAGAAAACGTTTTCTCACAAAATATTTTAATTTCTCACTATAGTAAGGACAAGTTTAGTGATCAAAATCGGGTCTGTTTTTTAAAGGAATGGATAATATCCTTGCCAAAAGTGTTCTATAGACGACTTTGTTGTAGTGAGTCGAGCTAGATTTAATTAATGAAAGCTCTTTCATTAAAGAAAAGAGAAAATCTTAGAGCAAAACCGATTAATAGTTGCATGGTTGGCCTAGCTACGTTTAGTAAAAATAAATGTAAAATCACATACATGATCTTTCATCATTTCAAGGAAACTTCTAAAGTTATAATATATATAGAATCTAGCTCGAGCTGTTGAGAGAAAATATGAGTTGTTGACGAGCTTTATGAGTTGATAATATCAATGTTCAAGTTTTGAAAACATGGTTGAATATTTAAACACTTTTCATATTTTTTCCAGTTGAAGATTAGTGAAAGGATGGAAAACTGTTATTACATTTGCACCCATTTTGAAGCTCTCGAGGTTTCTTCAATGGAGAGAGAGAGAGAGAGAGAGAGAGAGAGAGAGAGAGAGAGAAGAGAACAGTGAACAAGAGAAAAGTTAGGCGTGGTGCATCAGTTTGTGAAAAATAAAAATAAAAAACGTTTTAAAAAATAGCTTTTCATTTTGAAAAAAAAATGTTTTTATGGTTAATCCACGTGACACCATATGATTCAATAGTGTATACATTTATATGTCACATCAGCACACTAACATAAAATTTGATTGAAATTTAAAGGAATTATCAAATTAATTTGCGAGATTCTTGCTCTTTCAGGCTTTTATCCCTCTCTCCTTTCTCTTGGTTGAGGTCCTCTCTGGTTGCTCTGGGATCTCATCAAGCGTCAGTTACCACGAGCTAGGGTTCGAATCGGTCTCATCGTGTAGTTAAATCGAACATGCAATTGCCCACATTTTGATAGGTTTTTTTTTTTGGTAATTACCTAATTTATGAATGAAGTACTTCAAGTGTTAGAAACGAAATTTGGTAGTGACTCTGATTTAATTTCTGGTTAAAAGATTGATTGCCTTAAATTGCACACCATTCTAAAATCCATCATAAGATACTAGTATATTTCAAAGGGATTATTCTTAGTTATAAGATTAACGTAGCCATTCCCTGATTAAGTACAATAGATGTCTCTATAAAGGATTAATAAAAATAAAAAAAGTATAAAAAAGTAAAAAGAAAAACGGGTTTTTCTCAACAAATGGCTAGCCTGAGACAAAGTTCAGGATTCTGACACATAAACATTGTACTCAACAATGGCATCTCCCGTATTAGCATCAAACCAAACCGTATGGGCTAAGGCATAACCTCGAGCAAACCTAAACTGCCCAGTGCCTCCAACAACTGGCATCTCTCTCACATCATTCAGGACCGGATTCCTCCCGAGAATGCTAATGCTACTCCCCTTGTACTTGCCTTCCACGAAAACAAAATTCATGACCATAAGGAGTGCAAATTCATCTGCTTGTTGTGAAGCAACTGAGTAAAACCCTTGTGCTCTTCCGATGAGCTTGGAGGCACGGTCTTGCTCTTCAGTCAGTGCATTATCGATCATCATAGTGCTGCCAAAGCCTGCAGCGGTACCATTTGGTGGCCCAATAATTCTAACAGAGGTTGGGTTTTTGCCACCAAGGATGTCATGGAAGAAAAAGTGGAGGTGGCTTAAGTTTTCTGTTTTCCCGTCGGATCTGACGAATTGCCTGATTAGAACTCCATCAATGGAAGAGAGAAAGGTTGAGCAGAGGATGAAGATAGAGTAGTAGAGAAATGAAGACATATTAGTCTCTCTAGCTAGCTAGTATGTCACTGTGTGTGTGTGTGTGTGAGAGAGAGAGAGAGAGAGAGATTAGACTTGTAGTAAGATATGTGGTATGTGGTCACTACAAAAGAGGAGGAAGAGGACAAGTTTTAGAAGTTGTTAATATGTCCAAAGTGTGAGATTGAGAATATATATATCTCGTTTACAGAAATTTTATCGTGCTCCAGAGTATCTTATATTTCAAGTTTTTTATTTGTTAGATATTATCTATTGTGTGTTTTAACTACAAAACGGCTAAAATTCTTGAGTAACCAATACTCCAGAGTATCATATATAAAAAATCCCATCATGCTTAATTATATAATTAATGGTTGGTCTGGTTGATGCATTTTCAAGCAACCACTGCTTTTTGTTGGGTCTACGAGAGTGTTTGGCTTTTAATTGCTTAACACAACATGGAGAGCTTGAATCCTTTTTAAGCAAAGAAAGATTGGAATCCATTGATGGCTAACCAAATGTCAAACATTACTTGTAACTTTGAAATTTTGTTTAAGGAATCGAAAGACATGAGTTTGGTGTTCGGTTATAATAAGGTTATGTGAGACTTAAGTTATGCCACGTACATGATGATGACCCCGAAAACAATGATAACAACAATTGATTTTTTGTTTGGGCCTGCTTTTACGCTTGAGCTTAATATCAAATATCTATTGCATTAAGTAATTAGCTTGAGATTGAGCACAAAAGATAACATGAGCCCTAGACTTATATTGAGTTATGAAAGGAATGAATAATATGCAAGTCAAATTATGCACTCTGATATTTTATTACTCAAATTGAGCGCAAAATGTAACATGAGCCCTAGACTAAAATACTTCGATATTTTATTACTCAAACTATGCATTATGCAATCAATTTTTATATTTTATTATTGGTTTTGGATATATTTTATTCATTGTTTTTATATAAAGCATACAATTTTATATTAAAAAGGATAAGCATACTAGTACATGTACCAAAATTCGAGAATATTCAAAACATATAAATTATATAAATTTTTGAAATATGTTTTGAGAATTTTGAGATTACTCTAATTCCAAAATTTTATAACAAAAATTAAAGGGAATTGTTATTATCACTCCAAAAATCTCATTCTACACTCCAAACTTTCTGTATTAGGAAAGAAAAATACACTTTGTGAGGAGTGTAGAATGAGATTTTTGGAGTGTCAATAACACTTCCCAAATTAAAAAAGTTGTTTTCAATTGGATGAGCCCAAAAATCACCCCTACCCGAAACAAAATAATAGTACATAAGATTATATCTTTTTTTTTAATGGGCTACTCATTAATAAACCCTCGACTAGTCAAAAACCCCAGGTACTGGAGGAACACTACTATAACATGGTGGTGAGGTGGAAGAGGGGGCAGTCGGAGTCGCAGTCGCAGAATTTATCCACTAGGATGGTGAAACGGAAGTTGGAAGACGAATCGACAACAACCGAAGAGAAAACAGAAGATGATGACACGGATAATGCCATTATACCTTCCCCGCCGAATGTTGAGGTCCGGGCAACTTTTATTGTAGAAAATGCTTCTCTGAGGAAAGGCATCGTTCGAAAGGTACAGGAGAAACTCTTCAAGCAAATATTTCTTTAATATTCCAGTAAAAAAAATTAAATTTGAAACTTTTTTAATTAATTTTTTTTTTAGAATTATATTTCCTCAATTTCATTTTTATTCCTCAGAGGTGGAAGATTCTAGATTCAGAGGAAGACGCTGACTTCCTCAAACAAAAGAAAGATGTGAATGATTATAGGCCTGGAGTTGTCTACCAGGTTTGCTCTTGAGCTATAAATTAGACGTTACATTGATACATTTTTATGTCATTTGAACTCCAACTCAATGTCATAACTTTTTTTATAGTATAGCGATAGTGTTATCAGGTAGACAGTTAGTTGATAGGAGAAGAGAGTCGGTGGAGATTGAACCCACACTAGGGTTTATAGGTATGATGTTTTTTTTCACCACTATAGTAAAATGTCATCTACAGCTCAAAGTCATAACTTTTGATAAACTATAACTTGCTTGATTAGACTTGGGAGTTATATTCTTTGGTTAATGAAAATCCTTATATATAGTTGGTTAGGTTTCTATTTGAAACTCAAACTAATGGAGTTATATTATTAGGTCAATGAAAATACTAATAAATAAATGAAAAAGTAATTGATAACTATAAGGTGTTGATATCATTGTTGAAAAATATCAGTGACAACTTAGTGAGTTACTGATACAAATTCCGCCGACGATTTGTACCAGAGAATTTCTGGATGCATAGAAGGACTCTAGCTTTGCAAATTTAGGGTCTAAATAGATCCATCCATTTGTTTATATGAGAGGAAAATTTAATTCCAAACCTTCATTTTTCTGAAGTAACTTTTGGATTTTATTAACATATCAAGACAGTAAAGTCCAATTAAACAATTTATACTGTATCATTCTATCATTCTATCCTTACAGACCTTTAAATTATAATATCATCAACCATAAGTTCATTCATTGGAATTGAGATTAGCATAGGCTTACTGCATGCCACCAAGGTTTTAGCATTGCATCATGCATGTCTTACTAATACGTAGTCTCTGTTTTCTTTTCTTTTACTGTGTTTAATTTATAATTCATGATTTTAAGTGTTTTACCCGTCCAGGCTCTTCGTTCGATTTTTGATAGCAAATTTAATAAATCTGGTATGGTACGAGCTGTGTATGTAAAAACAGATAATGGAGTGTTATTTGAGATTAAACCCCATGTCCGTTTACCAAGAACGTGTAGGCGCTTTTGTGGAGTCATGCGTAAGTTAGCTTCTACTCCTAGTCGTTTTATATTCACCTTTGCACCATTCTGCCTCTTCAAAATGTCATGGAACTTACGAATTGCTTTGAATTTTGACTTCTGCAATTTCTAAAGTGGAGTTACTAGATAAAAAATGCATACGGACCAAAGATACAAATGAAATTCTTAAGCGCGTCATTGCGGAACCTGTAACCCGACATTTACGAGTCAACTCTAGTGTAGTAGGTGAGCATTGCCTACCTTTATTTAGCATTCTGAGCTTACTGATGACTATGTTAATTCTGCCAGTGATGAATTGAATCTTGTTTTTGTGGTATGTTTGAGATTCTAAATTCCAGTTCATAGGTCTCTAATTCATGCTCCGTTTTGTATGTGAAATTTGAAATCCCCGTAACGGCTTTTTATACATGTTCAGGTGGGTGCAGAAACCCATGGGAAGATCAATGAGTATACAGATAATTTTATATCAGGTAATTTGTACTTGAGTTATTTGATAGTATGGTTTTTATAGAAGCATGGAGGAAAAATACTCTTTTAAAATTCTAAATGTCGATTTGAATAGATATGTTAAAACACTAAGATGGTTTATGTGAACTTTAGAGCTTGCAAATGTGATTTTTGGTGGTCTAGTATGAATTCTTGAGTACAAAAGAACAGCGATCGAAGGATTTTTTGCAATGTAGGAAACCTGAATCTTATCAAAACTGGAGAGCAGATGGTTGACACAAGTAGATACTGTAATTTCTTAAGTGTTATAGTGTATTAAACTTTGTTAAGTGTCATAGTCAGTTGTACACAAAACTGTTTCTCGTCTGGTTATGTTTTCTTCTTCCAGTTTACGTTTTGCTTTACTCTTCTATGTCATGCTGGTCTATATCTTGCCGGAATCTATTAATAATATCTTAATGTTGCATTTGTTTGCCTCTGCAGTTTCAAATTATCCATTGAGTGCAAAAGGCTGCATAGGGTTGATTTGCGAGTCGTTGGAGCATAAATGGAAGATCTTTTGAGTCATATATATCTAAGTTATTAAATACTAATTAAGGTTTGTAAAAGCGCCGAAGATATCTAAACATGAGTTTAGCTCAAAAAAAAAAAAAAAAAGAAGGGTAGTTATTCAATTTGATGAAGTCAATTTCTTCGACACTGAAAGGTAGAGGCCAGCACAATACTAGTAAGGCCAAGTTGAGCTGATTTCCATCACTGCCGAAAATAACTAACTTGTTGATCGTCGTCATCAGTTCTCGGTGTCAAATGCATCTATCAGGATGGTCAAAGTTGAATTAATTCATGTACTCATTTAAGTTCCTTCTCGATCAGTTAGATTATGATAAAAGGAATCCTGGTTAACAAGAACAAGACGCTGATCATGAAGATTCTGTATAATCTTATCGCAAACTGTAGTCTTACCAGAAGCTGCCCCACCAGCAAAACGAACCGATGTTCAGAGAGACGGAGAAAGAGAGTTTTATTTTATATTGCGGTTGCAAACTTGCAGATGTTGTAAATATAAGCATTTATGTGTGATTGCATAAATAAAAGTAGGAATTTAACATGGCTCGTCGGTTAGGATCATGTACTTATTGTATCTGTTAAGGGATTCCTAAACCGCCATTCAATACTACGGTCTGGTGATATTCCTCTTCACTTGGAAGTGAAAGGTTTTAGGTTCGAATCTCGTGGATGACGAATTGGATACTAAATTAAGTTGCCCATTGTGTAACTTAGGCGAACTCCCCCTCTTCCTAGTATAAAAATATCGATGTAATTTAAAAAAAAAGGATTCCTAAACCATAGAAGGATTAATATAAATATAAGGCGCAACGCATGTGAAAAAACAAGTTCCCCTCTCTCTCTCACACGTTCTCTCACTCTAATTAAGTTTTCTGGACAATATATTATCAGCGCTTTTGTAGTTCTTGAGAGGAATCTTATTGGTGTTTGGAGTTCTTCATCCAAGTATTTTCTAAACTTAATTTAATGTTCTTGTGTTAAACTTGATTATATGAACATCATCACAAAGAATGAACTCAATTTTATACTCGGAATTATATTTTGATTATGTCTTTCGATTATTATGAATTACTTGTTGATATGTGTGTCAAAAAAAAAAAAAATCTCAAGGAAAAAAAAAAAAAAAAAACCCTTACGCCGATGGCTCCAAGACCAGGACATCGACGCCATATGACTGTCTTTGTCTCGATCTTCGCCTGCGTTGCCACCCCTGTAGCTGATTTTGGATTCATCTATAAAAAAAACAATTTTAGACTCTCTCTCACCTTGCTCGCTTGCTATAGCTATTAGCTGTCAGCTATCGACGACAGAATACTGAAGACTGAAGCCCCCCAATCCCCTACCTGATTTCTTTCTGATTCGATGAAGACCCACAAAGTTTGGAATCCAAATAAGACCTCTAAAACAAGGTAATAAGCATTTTACTCTCACATTTGGTTTAGGGTTTAGGGACTCCGAGACTGCAATGCACGCTTGATTATTCATAGATTGCATATCTTCCTTATTTATTATTAATTTCTGTGCCATATTTTGTTTTAATCTCTTTGCCATGCACACACCATAATTCTTTTCCGACATCGGTGAAAGCAACTGGATTGCCTGCCATTCTTTTCGTAATTAGCACTTCAATGGTATTCCAGTGTTTAAATATTTACAAAATTGTCAATATTTTCGGGAAATATTTGAAAAATCAAGTATCGATATAGAAAGGGGTGTAATTCAAACTTCACCCTACATTAATTTTGATATAAGAAAATCAATGAATATCGACAATATTCACCTATTCTCAAGAGAAATTTTGTCATAACTCATTGCATATTTTGAACTTTTAAAATTCTTTTAAGCAATTTTCTCTAATTTGACTAAATATGAATGAGTTGATATACTCACCTCATTGCAAATTTCCATAATTTCTATCGTAGACAACTGATATCGATATTTCTATAAATTTGCATATCGATATTTCCAAACTATATAAATATTTTGAACACTATATTCCAGGATCGAAAAGAGAGAAATGAAGAGAGAAGCCTTGGAGCGATGCTCAAAGCGTCATTCGAGGGACATCTTGGAAGTGAAGGGAGTTGAACAGAATATTAATGAAGATTCTATGCGCCAAGTTACTGGGATTCCTCTAGCTCCTTCCAACCAGAATATGAACCCTGGCGTTACTTTTGTTCTCGAAAAGGCTTCCTTGGTGCCTGCTTATGTCGGGAAGGTAACCATTTTTATTGTAATACCTGCCTCCTTAATTTTTCTGCTTCTTTTGCTACCTTGTTCGTTACTTTTCATTTACCTTAAATATATTTCCTTGTGTCAGAAAGTACCAAATTTTAAATCCAGAAATACACGCGGACTTCTTACGGAAAAAGAATATGGATCCTTAATAGATTGAGAATGATAGATTGAACTCATTACATTCCCCTCAAACATATATGACAACTTGCATCAGAAATTGCATATCATCGTTCTGCAATTGCAAAAATCACTTTTGCTTTTGTCTCAGCAATTGTTTTTATTTTGCAAATCCGTTTGTATGTTCAGGCCCTCCTTCAAATTATGGATTCCCGACTTTGTATGGCCGGCAGACTACAGCCGGTATATGTTAAAACTGACGAAGGGGTTCTCATCAAAGTCGAACCACATTAATATATTCCTAGCCATATTCCTCCATGGTGTTTTCTTTTCAAACTTCATCTTTTAATTTCCCGAAGCCTGTTTTAATCTATTGTTTGCAGCACAACTATTGCAAAAGCTCCGCATTAAGGCCAAGGGTCGACGTGAGACACTCTTGCGTGTGGTTCAGAATGTTGGAATTTTTGGATCGTCGGACCCGCCCCACTCTAACGATACTGATATTGTCCCCAACTTTTCCATTTGCCCAATCCGTCAGGTGTAAAGTTTTACCACAAAAAGCCTCGATATTAGTTAGAGTGGGGTAATACTATTTAAACCTCTTTGGTTTTCTTCACCCCACCGATGTGGAACACTTTTAACATTCCCCTCACATGTAACCTCATACAGCTCACGTTGGGCCCACTTGTTTTCAATGGAACTCAGCGGTCGTCTCTTGCACGGGTTCGCAACCGTGGGCTCTGATACCATGTTGGAATTTTTGGATCGTCAGACCCGCCCCATTCTAGCGACACCGATACTGTCTCCAACTTTCCCACCTGCCCAATCCGTCAGGTGTAAGGTTTTACCACAAAAGGCATCGGTATTAGTTAGAGTGGGGTAATACTATTTAAACCTCTTTGGTTTTCTTCACGCCACCGATGTAGGGCACTTTTAAAGCTCTGGAAAATATTCCAATGTATCAATCACTACTGATATAGCAGAATCTAAACCAACTCAAGGGTCAAAAGTTCAAGATGAAATTGTACTCCCTGAGGTCATTTTTGATATTTCACAGGAATGTTTGAGTTCTAATGTTGATGGTTCAAGCTCACAGATTGATCTATCACAGAGCTATGATTTTACTCCAAAGAAATGAAGACCCTTGAATGAAGTCATTGCACAGTGTAATGTTTGCATTATGGAACCTAAGAATTATGAAGAGGCTGCTCTAGATTTGTCTTGGATGAAAGCTATGCAACCTGAGCTAGACATGATTGAAAAGAATAATACATGGATGCCGGTAGACAAACCATCTAGCAAACCTGTGATAGGTGTGAATTGGGTATACAAAACAAAACTGAATCTTGATGGAAGCATTCAAAGCTAGACTGGTTGCAAAAGGTTATTCACAGAAGCCAGGAATTGACTTCAATGAGACCTTTGCACCAGTTGCTAGGCTTGACACCATAAGGACTTTGATAGCTCTTGCAGCTCAGAAAGAATGGTAGTTATTTCAGTTGGACGTAAAGTCTGCATTCCCCAATGGTGTACTCAAGGAGGAAGTCTATGTTGATCAACCTCAAGGATTTGTCATACAAGGCAAGGAGGATAAAATGTACAAGTTAAATAAGGCATTATATGGCCTTAAGCAAGCTCCAAGAGCTTGGTATGATGAAATTGATTCTTACTTCACCAAGGCTAGTTTTAAAAGAAGTCCTAGCGAAGCCACTTTATACACTAAGGTTGAAAACTCAAGGATTCTTATAGTTTATGCGTATGTTGATGATATTGTGTACACTGGAAGTAGTGACACAATGCTTGACAAATTTAAAAATGACATGATGCAGCACTATGAGATGACTCATTTGGGATTGCTACACCATTTTCTTGGTATGGGAGTTGTACAAACCAAGAAGAGCATTTTCATACATCAGAAGAAATATGCAATAAAGTTGCTAGAGAAATTTGGACTAAAGGGTTGTAAATCTGTGGGAACACCACTTGTAGCAAATGAAAGGTTGTGCAAGAATGATGGAAGTAAAGTTGTAGATGAGTTTGAGTATAGGAAATTGGTGGGAAGCCTTATGTACCTTACTGCCACTAAACCAGACATAATGTTTGGTGCTAATCTCTTAGCAAGATTCATGCATGGTCCAACTAAGAAACATATGGGAACAACAAAGAGTACTGAGATACATTCAAGGTACTATGGACTTTGGCATTGAATATGTAAAAGGAAAGTCAGCACTTCTTATTGGATATTGCCACAATGACTGGGCTGGGAGTATTGTTGACATGAAAAGCACATCAGGGTATGCTTTCAATCTTAGCTCGGGTGTGTTCTCTTGGGCATCAATCAAACAAAACACAGTGGCATTGTCTACTGCAGAAGCTGAATATGTAAGTGCTGCTGAAGCAACATCTCAGGCCAAGTGGTTGAGATTTGTTTTGGAAGATTTCGGGGAAGAACAGTTTGAACCTACCATGCTAATATGAGATAACACTTCAGCAATAGCTATTGCCAAGAATCATGTGTTTCATCAGAAAACAAGACACATCAGCAGAAAATTTCACTTCATCAGCGATGCAATACAAGAGAATGAGATTGAGCTTATTTACTGCGAATCTGAAGAACAAATGGCAAATATCCTAACTAAGGCCCTACCAAAAGGAGAAGTTCAACAATTTCAGAGAGATGCTGGGAGTCGACTCAACTGCCAGCTTAGAGGAAAATGTTGATTTTTAAGCTTTACAGCTGCCTTCTGATTCAAGTTTCTTGTTTTCCTTTGTAATTCAAAGTAGTTGTTCTTAGTTTGTAATGTAGGGCTCAGATTAAATCAAAGCTAATAGGCTAGATGTGTGCCACATGGTATAACAACTCACTTATAGTTAAGCATGTGTTGTGCACATGAGTGTGTGAGGTGGATGAGTGAGTGTGCCTTCAAACAGCTATATCTCACCCCTTCCCCCCCCTCACTCTATGCTTCTAGATGTATCAATTCAGTCATAGTTGAATAGAATCAAAAGGAGAAATCTCTCCGTCTTCTTCGCACCTTAATTTCTTCATGCTTTCTTATTGGTTTATTTTGATATGTGCTTTGATACTTCATAAAAACCACTTACCCATATAAAAACACAAACTCTATCATAGTATCAAAGCTTTCATTTCAATCCCATTTGGCACTCTCATCAAATACTAAATCCCTAGAAAATATAATTTTATTATTGATAGAATCCAATAACCTGTATCCTCTCACTGGTTCCATACCCCACAAAAACACATTTGTGACTGTTGCACTCAAGTTTGTGTCTTAGATTCATGGGAACATAAACATAGCATACTGACCCAAAGATCTTCAAGTGTGCAATTCTAGGTTTTCTTCCAATATAGGATTCAAAATGAG